AAACATAATTGAATCTTAGCTCAATTTAAGAGTTGAGGAGATCAATCCTCAAATTTGACCCATTTTCAAGTCAAATTGGATCCATTTTTCAAGTTAAAATCGTCTCTCTTCTGTTGGTATTTTTGCTGTAGAATCTGCTGGGTTTTTGAAATTATGTAAATTGGGAATCTGTGATGTCAAACGCACTAGAACTGGGCATTGCAGTGCACTGTGCACTGCCATGGGCGGGTAAACAAAGGGATTGTACAGAGTCTTATCGGCGGTACAATATCTACAATGAAGAAAGAGCCACTCGGCGAGTGGTGTGCACTGGTCTATGTTTATTTCAGAGTTACGATCTCAAATAAACATCCCTGCGTGATCGCCATTGAGGTGATTTCTGCGTTTTTACTTTAATTTCTGCTCGACAAACTATGCATTCTGCAATATATGCTAAGCTGCTAACTGTTAAGTCAAGTTCATAGAAATAGTAGCATTTACCCATTTTAAAGTTTCAGATTTGTTTAAACAGGTACAAATATTTATTTTTATTTATATAATAAGAGAGATATTTGGAACTGCATTGAGGGATGGTGTTTGGTATAATTGGCAGCTAATTCTACAATTTTTTATTTTCAGTTAGAGTTTTGACCGTTGCACAATTATAATTCATTCTTGTCTACAAGTTGTTGTTTAAGATGACAAACTACATATCTACAAAGACATTGACACATCCTCTAAATACCAACTCCAGTTTGAGTAGCTACGACTTTCATCACCGATACAGGTATTAATTAACTTGGTTTGTCCTGTAATATCGCAAAAAGTCATTCCCAACTTGAACTTCTCTTTTCTTAGAAAACCGTTATTATTGGCCTAACAACAGACTTTATGTAGAGTTCAGAATTTCTAGTCAGCTTAGTTATGAGATTATAACAACTGCACTTCAATAATTTCACAAATAATCAGATTGTGTCATCAGGACTTTAGACAAAATTAACTAAGACTTTATCAATTTGCTCTATCACTGTCAATTTTTAATGGCCTCCATCTAATTTCCACCTGAGTAGAACTTATATATTGAGTTGAAGTACATATGGCCTACATGTTATAGAGTTTGACTTTACATATACCATAAATACACTGGCTAAACTTGGATCTAACAAGTTGCCTCTATAAGGATGGTGATAGAACGATAAGCAATTGAATAACCTTTATCCTGCTATATTATTTCAGATCCATTACCTTCATCTTACGTAGACTAGAGAGAAAAATATCTACTTGCACTATGCTGCAAAGGCAATATATAGACATTATTGGTGATTTGATTTTTCAGTTTCTTTTTGACACCTCTTAAGATTGTAACTTGTAATATTGAACATTCAAAAAAAGCTCAAATATGCCAGCAAACTTAGTGAAATGGCCTATCCATGTCACTCGGTAATAGTTGGGCATAGAAATGCCATCGACGTTACCATTTTGGGCTACATATGTCATTACCCACTAATGGACCCCTAATATTACATTATCTAAATCTTTTATTACTTACCGGTTCCCTCCCCTCTGACCCCTTTTACGAGTGGCATTTGTGAACCATTTTGTTAAGTTCAATGTTATTTTTCTGTTTATCATTTGATGCATGACATTCAACCTTTTTGAATCATATATATTCCTATTTAAACGTCTGTAGTTTCTGATTTTATGTAATAAATATAACAAACTTATAAGGACAAGTTTGTTCCTTATAGGCTTATACAATAACACAATTATTTTATATGGAAAAACTATACTCTCTTATTTAATTGGATTATGAATCTTATCCTATTCTACATCATTCACAAATTTCACGTACTTTACGGCTCTTAAAAAGATTTAAGAAAAACACAAATTTGTGTAAGAAATAAAAACAAGGACGGGCTTAAAAATGAGTCCACTAATGAGATGTAGCTGGTATGTAAGTACATTTGTGTGTGTGAATTATGAGTATATATGAATTTTCATGGTGGAATTTGGGGTGTTATAGTGGTTGGGATATGGTGGTGGCTTGGGAAAAGGACATAAAATTTGTTTCAGAATAAAGAAAAAGAAAAAAAGACAAGCTTAAAAGAGAGTACACTAATGAGGTATATCTGGATATGGAAAGTACATACGAGTGTGTGAATTAAGAGTATGTATGTGTTTTCATGGTAGAATTTGAGGTGTTACAGTAGTTGGGTGTTGCGGTGGCTTGGGAAAAGGACAGAAAAAGATGTTTTTTTAATAAGACAGGTTTAAAAGAGACTACACTAATGAGGTGTAGCTGGTTGTGGAAGTACATATGAGCGTGTGAATGAAGAGTATGTATGTCTTTTCATGTTGAAATTTGTGGTGTTATACTGGTTGGGATGTGATGGGACCTTGGGAGAAGGCTCAAATATGCCACTGCAGTTAACGAAATGGATAACATATGTCACTCGTAAAAGGGGGTGGCCGATGTTGAAATATGCGGTGTTATAGTGGTTGGGATGTGATGGGACCTTGGGAGAAGGCTCAAATATGCCACTGCAGTTAACGAAATGGATAACATATGTCACTCGTAAAAGGGGGTGACCATGTGAGAGGGGTGGCGGTGGTAAGTAATGAAGGGTTTAGATAATGCCACATAGCAAAATCTGATGGTATCAGGTAATGGAATATATGGACAAAATGGTAACGTCGGTGGCATGTTTATGTCCAACTATAACGAGTGGCATAGATAGGCCATTTTGTTAAGTTCAATGGCATATTTGAGTTTTATCCCTTTAACATTCAAAGTCAAGATGTTTAACTGGATTACACAAGAGGCGATTGTATCCAAGCGAGCCCATTATATAAAGTTGGATACTTGAAAGGAGGAAATGCATATTAAGAACTTCTTTTCTGCTTTTGCATTTTAATTTCCTTCATACCCCTATCAAATACTTTGGTTCTTAAAAAAATAATGATGGCAAGGGCCGCGATGACAGGCCTCCTTTTACTAATCTACTGCATCAATATATCTGCTTCAAGGACAAACTTTACTGACGAATCAGTTCTATTAGTCTTCATAGCACAAATAACCAATGACCCCGATGAAACTCTGATAAGAAACTGGACACAAGGGACTGAAGTTTGCAGTTGGATTGGTGTTTCTTGTAGCACACGGCATCATAGAGTTGTCTCACTAAACCTCAAGAGTCTAAGATTAAGAGGGTCCATTCCGAAAGAAATAGGGAACCTTTCCTTCCTTAGTTTCTTGGATTTTGGCAACACTTTTAATGGTGTAATTCCCAATGAACTTGGCCGTCTAATGAGACTCAAGTACTTGTCCTTGCAAATGAATAATCTCACAGGTGAAATCCCACAAAGCCTTGGATTTCTTTCGAGGCTTGAAGTGCTGGATCTTTCTGAAAATGACCTATATGGATATGTTCCATCATCTATCTTCAATATCTCTTCTTTAAAGATCATTGATTTGAATTTGAATGATCTAAGTGGGAATTTGCCAAATGACATGTGCAGTAATCTCCCAATGCTGCAATATTTATTCATGGGTAACAATGGTTTAGTGGGTGAACTTCCTAGTCGTTTAGATAAATGCACCCAACTTGTAGCTCTGTCCTTGTCTTACAACAGATTCACAGGTAATTAACTAACTTGTACTTCTCATTTCCTTTTTTTTCCTTCTTCTTGAATTGATCATTGTATTTTTCCTGATATTGTATCTTAATTAATAGGAAATTTACCCCGAGAAATGGGGAACATGTCAAAGCTTCAAGATATGTTTCTTGGATGGAATAAATTGACAGGTAAACTCTCTATATATGGAGCGTTTTACGAACATAGAATGTTTTAAAAAGACCATAAGAGCAACCATCAACTAACAACCTGGGATCCTCTTCTATAACTACATTGCTAGAGCAACTCCTTATTGAAACAATCATTTTCAATATAGGCCATATATATGTCCATGTGACAACCTCTAGAAAACTAATACTCCCTCCGTTTCAATTTGTTTATCTGGTTTTGACTTGACACGGAGTTTAAGAAAGTAGAGAAGATTTTTAAACTTGTAATCTTAAACTAATTTGACTCTTCAAGATCTCTTTCTTGAAACAGAAACGCAAATGCTTTAGTGAAAGTTGCTGGTTCATGGGACTTTCCTAAGTCAAATGGCGGAAGATTAAATGACCACCAGCTTTTGTAAGGCTCTTGTGTTGGAATGAGATTATAGTATAGGATGTCTACACTGATATCAATCTTACTATCAGTTTTGCTGACAAAACACTAAATATGTCCGTGTGTGCATTGTCTGTCTGTTAGATCTATTTCTCCTTATATTACAAGATAAGAACTTGGTTCTTAAGTGTCTAACAACTCCAAAAATGTGATATAAATTTCAGGAAATATACCAAGTGAAATTCAGAATCTTCGAGCAATTCAACATCTAAGTCTTCGAAATAATGAATTGGTTGGAACTCTCCCACCTTCTATTGGGAATTTGTCGACTTTGGTGATGCTAGATATTGGTGCTAAAAACCTTCATGGAAACATTCCTACAGAATTTGCAAAACTTGTTAATCTGAAAGAAATATATCTTGGTTCAAATAAGATAACAGGTCAAATTCTAGACTCTTTTTATAACATTTCTGGGTTAGAAACGATCACACTTGCAGCTAATGAGCTTTCTGGAAGTCTACCTTCTAACTTTGCCCATAACTTTCCAAATCTTAATGGCCTTTATCTTGGGTTGAACCACTTTAGTGGGACAATTCCTAGCTCCATTTCAAATGTTTCGATTTTTAAACTTGTGATCTTAAACTAATTTGACTCTTTAAGATCTCTTTCTTGAAACAGAAACGCAAATGCTTTAGTGAAAGTTGCTGGTTCATAGGACTTTCCTAAGTCAAATGGCAGAAGATTAAATGACCACCAGCTTTTGTAAGGCTCTTGTGTTGGAATGAGATTATAGTATAGGATGTCTACACTGATATCAATCTTACTATCAGTTTTGCTGACAAAACACTAAATATGTCCGTGTGTGCATTGCCTGTCTGTTTGATCTATTTCTCCTTATATTACAAGATAAGAACTTGGTTCTTGAGTGTCTAACAACTCCAAAAATGTGATATAACTTTCAGGAAATATACCAAGTGAAATTCAGAATCTTCGAGCAATTCAACATCTAAGTCTTCGAAATAATGAATTGGTCGGAACTCTTCCACCTACTATGGGGAATTTGTCGACTTTGGTGATGATAGATATTGGTGCTAATAATCTTCATGGAAGCATTCCTACAGAATTTGCAAAACTTGTTAATCTGAAAGAAATATATCTTGGTTTAAACAATATATCAGGTCAAATTCCTAGCTCTCTCTATAACATTTCTGGGTTAGAAACGATCGCGCTTGCAGCTAATGAGCTTTCTGGAACTCTACCTTCTAACTTTGCCCATAGCTTTCCAAATCTTAATGGCCTTTATCTTAGGTTGAACCAGTTTAGTGGGACAATTCCTAGCTCCATTTCAAATGTTTCCAAGCTCACTTTCCTTGATTTGGGTCACAATTTTCTTAGTGGGGATGTGCCGAGGAATCTTGGAAATTTGCAGCAGCTTGAAGTGATCAACTTGCAATGGAATCAACTGACAAATGATCCTTCCACAAGGGAATTAAGTTTCCTTACTTCCCTATCGAGCTGCAAGCACTTGAAGCGTATACAACTAGGATATAATGCATTCAGAGGAACTTTTCCAAAGTCCTTAGCCTTCAGTAATTGGTCTGATTCTCTTGACGTATTCATCACCTCTGGAAACGACATCACAGGTGAAATCCCTGTTGAAATCAGTAAGTTGAGTAACTTGGTGTGGTTAGGCATTGGAAAGAATCGTTTGAGTGGTTCAATTCCTCATGAATTGGGAAACATGAGGAAATTGCAAAAGTTGACACTTTGGAAAAATAAAATAAATGGTACCATACCAGAAAGCTTATGCAATATGGAGGTCTTATTTCGACTTGACTTGAGTGAAAATCAGCTTTCAGATGAAATACCAAGTTGTTTGGGAAATCTCTCTTCTTTAAGAGAACTCTTTTTAGATTCCAATGCATTGAGCTCCAATATTCCTCCAACTTTTTGGAGTAACATCGGTATATCAACTCTGAGTTTGTCCTCCAATTTTCTCAATGGTTCTCTGCCTTTAGGAATAGGAAGTTTGAGGAGTCTAAGCAATTTAAATTTATCAAGAAATCAATTCTCAGGAGAAATTCCGAGCACAATTGGACAACTACAGAATTTGGTGAATCTTTCTCTGTCGATGAACAATTTTGAAGGTCTTATACCTCAATCAGTCGGATACTTGGTTGCTCTTGCATACTTGGATTTATCCGGAAATAACCTTTCAGGTATGATCCCCGAGTCTCTGGTGAATCTTAAACAACTTAGCTATCTTAATGTGTCTTTCAATGCACTCACTGGTAAGATTCCAAATGGAGGACCTTTTGCTAATTTGACAGCTGCATCTTTCATGGGGAATGCTGAATTGTGTGGACCATCTCAATTCAATGTGGCGGAATGCAGAATTGGTGGCATGAAAAGAAAAAACAAAAGGAGGGCTTTAACTTTTGCTCTTGCATCAGTTGCAGTAGCATTAGTAGTCACAACAATTTTCATGGTTTGGTTTCTCAAATACCGAAAAATAAGCAGACAACTTCCTATACCAGATTTGATTGGCCAATCCCATCAGAGGATCTCTTACTATGAAGTTGTTCGAGGGACAAACAACTTTGATGAAGCCAATTTGATTGGCAGGGGAGGCCTTGGTCTAGTGTACAAAGGAACACTCCAAGATGGAATTATCGTTGCTGTAAAGGTTTTCAACACAGAAGTACAAGATGCATTTAGAAGATTTGATTTGGAGTGTGAGGTTTTGCGTAACATTCGCCATAGAAATCTTGTTAAGGTGATAAGTAGTTGTGCTAATCTTGATTTTAAAGCATTGGTTCTAGAGTACATGCCAAATGGAAACCTTGATGCTTGGCTTTATTCTCACAACAACTTTTTGGATTTAAGCCAAAGATTGAGGGTTATGATTGATGTGGCTTCTGCAATGGAATATTTACATGAAGGTCATTCTTTTGTTGTTGTACATTGTGATCTAAAACCAAGTAACATACTTTTGGATGGAGACATGGTTGCAAGAGTCAGTGACTTTGGTATATCCAAACTTATGACAGCTGATAAATTGATAGCACAAACGAAGACGTTAGGCACTATTGGCTACATGGCACCAGGTATACAACTGTTATCTAGTCTTTGCTATGTTTATTTGTCTCATTGTGTAGTTAAGAAACAACACGATTCATTTTGCTATTGATTAAGAAGATAAATATATGGCGTATGTTTGCAGAATATGGATCAGAAGGCTTAGTGTCAACCATGGGAGATGTTTATAGCTATGGTATCATGTTAATGGAGACCTTAACAAGAAAGAAGCCCATGGACGATCTTTTCATTGGAGAACTCAGCTTGAAGAGATGGGTGTTTGAATCATTACCCGATAGAGTGATGGATGTAGTGGATGCTAATTTATTTTCAAGACAGGATGAGCAGTTTTCATTCAAAGAGACTTGCTTTAAGTTGGTAATGGAATTGGCCTCACAATGTACATCTGAATCACCTCAAGAGAGAATCAGTATGAAAGATGTCCTTGTAAGACTCAACAAGATTCAAACCAACCTCTTACATTGTCCAACAACAAGCCAAAATAGAATGTAAAAAATTCTTGGTGAGGACAAAGTTGGGGGACAGAATGAATACCATCTTTTCTTTTATCTTGTTTTCATTTTTTTGGACTTGTCTTGTAAAATATATGTAACAAACCATGGTAGCTTGTGAAACTGTAACTTCAGAGACTCATGGATTACCTACAACTCATGTTTGGATTGACTTTTTTCAAGTAGATTATAAGCAAAAAGTTAAAAGTTGAGAATATCCAACTTTAGGACTTCAATTCAATAAAATAAAATAAAAGTAAATTGAACGTGAGTTATAGTGTATTACTCTTTATTATAAGTCTTTTGTTGATCAATATTAACATGTTCATATTCTGTAAATATTTCATCACTCTTTTGATATTCTCACAAAAAGTTGTGTAGATATAAAAAAGGTGAGTTTTTTATTAAAAGAATATAAACTTATGGGTCAATTTTGTATTTAAAAAGTATGAAATTCTCAAATTAAGCTTTTTGGAGAAAAATTCAAAACGTTAATTTTATCTCATAATTTCAAATCACGAAATAAAAATGAAACTGGGTTTCCAAAGTTATTTAATAGGCATACGTGCAATAACCCAAAGATAATTAGGGCTACACTAAATGAACCGTTCCAAGATCAAACCCAAATTGAAAGTATCAAAACCCCAAATTAACTCCCCTGAACCCCCTCTCTCTCTCTCCCCCGTTCAAAATTACCCACAATCTACCAGTAGTTTGTGCTGTGCAAACTCCTCCGACCGGCGACGGCATCAGCAATTTAGAGTCGGCGACTCCTCTTCCGTCACTCCATGTAAGTCTCTCTCTTTTATATCTTTCCGTTCTAATTTGTTTACTCCCTTCTTCCACGTTTATTTTTAGGCGTAATCTATACAACTCATTTGCGAGTATAAATTTCATTCAAACGCTTGAATTATGATTTGTTCCAATTGCAATTTTAAGGCGGAATATATACAAATGTTGAATTTGCAAATATAAATTTCGAACTGCAATTTGTATCAATTGCAAGTTTAAGAGATTATGGATGTGTCGGGCTTGTTTTAATTTACTCTTCTTGTGCTCAGAGAGATGAGCCGATCAAGTGAAGCAGCCGCCATGAAGCGGAAAAGACTGGATTCATCTACTCAGGGACTTGTAGATGCTGAGTTTGTAGTGCTCAATGTGGTCAAAAGTAAAAAAAATCTGGGTGTGTGGGTAGCAGATGTGAAAAAAGAGGCAAACATTGCACCAGCTCTTGTCGATAAATGCCTAACTTCATTGGTGAAGAAGAATTTGATTAAAAAAGTCCCTACTATCCAAAATAAGGCAAAGAAGCATTACATGGCTGTTGAGTATGAACCTTCCGAGGAACTGACTGGTGGAGCATGGTATTCCGAGGGAAAACTTGACAAGGAATTCATCACTGTTCTTAGAGAGACGTGCCTTAAGGTTATAGGAATGATGAAAGTTGCTACTGTGGAGGGGATCCACGACTTTTTGAAGAAACGGAAAGTTGTTGAGTGCTGCACAAGTCAACAAGTCGGTGAAATATTGAACTCTATGGTTTTGGACGATGCCATTATAGAGGTAAAGAGTACTGGTTTGGGAGAGTATCATTCTATTCCTATTGGATCTGCTTGTTACAGAATTGCAGTTGGAGATACTTCAGGTCCGAAAACAATAGGACCAATGGCTTCGATTCCATGTGGTGCTTGCCCTAGGATTAGTGTATGTACACCTGATGGAATTATATCTCCGAAAACCTGTGTCTACTACACTAAATGGTTGAACATTGAGTTCTGATGGACTACAACAATGCAACTTGTTGGTTGCTTTTCGAGTTTCTTGTTTTGTTGTTTGGTTTATAGATGAAACCAATCAAAAATTTCCATAAACCCCTTTTGGAAGTTTTAACATTTTATTATAATGTTTGAACTCAGTTGGGAAAATTGTGTTATCATGCTACCTTTTGCTAATGAGAAGATTGCAGCCTAATGTGTATTGGCATGACAACTTTCACAACTTTTGACATATATCAAATTGTTATCAGGTAGCTAAATGTCACTTGAACAAGTCATTATGTTGTCTACATTTATTTCCGCAAAGTCATTTGGTTCGTGGACAAAGTTATCTCGGGATTATAGTCTAATTTATCCTAGGCTAAATTTAATACCTTCAATCGAAGAAAGTATAATTTTAATTTTAAACTTAATCTTGAGATATCCATTTTATTCCGCATATCAAACGACTCCCCAAAAGGCTTTAGTCCCATAGATAGCCAAAGCATTGGTACATGAAATTTTGAGTCCTTCCAATATTTAAAGAGACTAATTAAACCAAATTCAAACAAGACATGAATGTACTTTTAAAGACAAAAGCACACTATTTTCTGGGCATGAAATATACACAATGTAGTTCACATTTTTTTGCGGAAAGTGACAGACAGTATGTATCTGTGACAGATTAGCCTTATTTTGACACACAATATATACAATGAGTTCAGTCCTATA